AATTTTTAACATTTTAAGGATAGTCGATTTGTTGTATATTAATAAATATGAGTATTCTAAAATAATAAATTTTCTGAGTGTATTTCTAAAACCAATTAAAACGGAATATCATACATTAAAATTCGCTGGTGTTATACAGCATCATCGTCTTTTCTGGCAAATGATTGTGTACTGGAAATCACTTTACAGTCTATTTCTAGAAGGTGTGTCAACTAGCTTCACAGTGTTTGATAAAGTAGCGTTTGGGTTTTATGACTGACTATACATTGTAAATTGCATCAATCTATTCTAAAGAAAACAGGTGTTATTATTATTCCCTGGGGTTCTGAGTGGAACATAAGGCCTCAACAGCACATCTCCATTTCACCCTGTTCTCTACAGTCCTCTTTAGCTGCCCCCCTGACTGTTCATAAGGTTTCATCTCTTCACACGATCGCCTCTTTGTCACCCTCGGACTCCTAACTTGTCGTTTTCCATTCGTTTCAAGAGTTCGCTGTTGCTAATCCTTCCTGACCATCTGATCTTCAGTATGGAGCGAAGGCATGTGTTGATAAAAGTCTTCAGCAGCCTGTTCGAAATGCTTTTTGTGGCGCGCCAAGTTTCTAACTCATATAGAAGAACTGACCTAACAGTGGTGTTCAAAATTCGAAGTTTGTCCTTTATTCTGAGTGCAGTAGATTTCCAAACTGATTTCAGAGTGATGAAGGTCTATCTTGCCTTTCTCAATCTGGCTTTGACATCCTCATCCGTTCCGCCTGTAGCTGAAACTATGCTGTGTAGATAAGCAAAGGAAATGGCTTCTTTCAAATTTATTCGGTTGATCGTGACTGGTGCTTGTTATAATTGTTTAGTTATTTTCATCACCTCCGTTTTCTCTAAGCTCACTCGAAGTCCTGTCTTTGCTGCTTCTTCTGTCAACTTGTTAGTTTTCTTCTTATCGGTTCAACGTATTCCTGTCTTCTCGCTTCCCATAGTCTTCCGCACAGTCCAGTCCACCACAATTAGGAAACAAATACTATCGAATAATAATGATTATAGAGACACGGTACTGTAGCTCAGTTGGATGATTTTCATTTGGTTGTGTCCTCTGAGCTGATTGGTTTAATTGTAAAGCTTTCGTTGTCCTTCTGGATAACATCTTCAACTGAATACCAATACAAATTGACAACTAATCGCAAAAAGGTCGTCAGGAGAGACTAGTATATCATTCTTGGCGAATCTATAGAAGTTCACTTCGTTGCATGACACTATATACCACTGATAAATTGAGATGAGTATTTCGATACCACTCACACTAACCAGTAGAGCTTGCCAATCAGATCGAAGTGATCTGAACACCAGACAGCCGTCTTTCTCATTTGGGGCCGAGCTCAGCATTGATGTACCCAGTTTGATTCAGCTTAGAGATCTAAATCAGTTCAGACCACCCGATCTCACTTCATCTTGAAGTCAGCTCTGAAGATGTTGTCTAGAAGGATAATGAAAGTTTCGTATTTTAACCATCCAACTCAGAGAACACACAACACTGTAGTAATAGTTATAATAATTGCTGTCGTAATATCAAAATACCTGTTAGCCATAGATAATAACCCTGGGACTTAATTGTTGGCATATATAATGATAATCTTTTTTAAGTATTACCATCGCTTAAGGTGATTGTTCTTCAATTCGACTGGGACAGCTAAGTGACATTAACATGTATATGGATTGACGTTAAATGCGATCAATTTGTGTAATTCTACTTTATTAAGTTACTTCACTTAAGTAATTGGTCAAGGTAGAAGTTTTTTTTCTTCACAACAATCGATTAAGATAGTAACATTTAGAACTTGGTGAATTTTACCACTCCTTTCCAATTTCTGAAATTAAGGATGATATCTTTATACTATTCCAGCCCCAACCCAATCAATACACCCAATCAATCGACTATATGCACATTGCACATTCACATTTTTGATGTATATGCCAAAATTTATAAAGAAACACAAGCACATGTGTGTTAGTTAACGATGTGGTGCACCTTATTGATTTTTATTGATGATTATTTGAAATTTAATTGTGTTTCTTTTTTGGGGTAATTATGATCTGTGTTTGTCTGTGTGTGTTGTACACATGATGAAATTTACATCACTAACATATAATTGTTCCGAGTTTTTGGATCATTGCCGTTATCATTGTTATTGATTTATTATTGGTTATTATGGGATCTCTTACGGTTCTCCTTTTATTGTTTTACTTTTATCTCAATCTTTTTAGATGGATTCTACAAGTAGCACTAAAGTGAGCAAAAGTGAAACGTGCGATCTTGAAACAGCATTTTAAGCATACCAATCATATATATTACATATAAATTTGTATATGTATTTACTATCGACTTGTTCTACGCATCGTGTATAATTACAATTTTATCCTCTGCTTCTGCCACTGTTGCTGTTGCCTTTGTGTTCGTTCTTCTCTGTGGCCTTGTTTTTATCCAGTGTGGTGTTTCTTTTGCTTCTATCTTACATAATATTTAGATAAATCATCATCTTTGTGATGCTAAAATGTGATATATAATAGTTGCGCTAACACTTTGATTTTTCAGCTATGTAGAAAGAAATTGAGCAAAAAACATTGAACAGGGCGATGATCTATATAACTTATGTGATGATTATGTACACATTGTATTCACTACATACTTAACTACCTATTCTTATCTTCTACAAATACACACACCATATACAAGTGCGCATACATACTACTACTGTAACACTACTGAATTTAATTCAATCACTAGTATTATTAGTTATTTATAGTTTGATTTTTTAATTAACCTGTTACTATTGTTGTTATTTACTTATTTATTTATTTTATTTCTTTATTATTTTATTGATTTATTTATTTTTTCTCGGAGTACTCACTCATTCATAGTCATTTTTTTTACAGAAAATGTGCAAATGAATTGAAAAAAAACGGTTATAATTTTTTCTTTAATTGAAATAATTCTGTTCAATAATGACACTTACACACACCCACACTCACGAACGCACGCACGCACAAAAGGTGTATTGATTTTTAATTTCTGTTTCTTGATTGTTTTAACTTGTTCTCTCTCCCCTCTCTGGCCTCTGTTGTCTTGTTTTTCTTTACGTGTACTGCTGCTTCCCTTAGTCGATGCATCGCATCTTGCAAAGACCACCGATGTATGTTTCTGTGTATATATGTATATGAATGTGTATCGTTGGTGTATATGAGTGAGTGTGTTATAGGAATTTTTTAAAAATCTTTTCTTAAGACAACCCCACTGCATATAAAAGTGGTGTGTTTAATATTTTATGTATGCAACAAATTTTATTTATTTATTTATTTGTGCATTAAAAGAGCTATTCATGATTGATGTCTTTCCTTCTTTTTATTTCTTAGCTTATTACCAACCACCTCTTGACTATATTTCCAGTGTACACACTTGTACATGTGAAACAGAAATATATACAAGCGAAATGCACTCACTCATCCAGCTGAGTGAGTGAGTGTATGCAAAAATAATGACACTGCAGCTTAAACTTTGACTATAGAATGTTGTGTTGTTTTGTCATCACATTTGATCTTGCATAATCAATTTGTTGTTTTTGTACTTTCATTTTCTATCTGATTTCTTTCATTTCATGATCAAAATATTACACAATATATATATATATGCATGTGTGTGTGTACAAATACCTTTGCAGTACAGTACAGTACAGTGTCTTTACTTGTATTCTTGACTTTAGCCATTAAGCACTATGGCTGTTGTGTTTAGTTTTGATTCCTTGTGATGAGCTGATTTCTTCTCATGACACAGTCTGCTGCATTAAGATGTGTGCGTGTGTGTACATTCATTCAGTGAAAAGGAGCTTTTTCATTTACCACTTTCCCCTCTTTGAATAGCCTTTAACTTCTGACATTACAAAAAATATTCTACATTATAGTGTACAATCATCATTCCTATTATAATAATAATGAACCTTATGTGTACATAATATCTAATACTCATATGTCATTACTATTTTTTACTTTGGTGAGTTACTCTTCTCTCTCTTTCACTGTCTACCTGTCTGTTTGTCTATCTCTTGTATTCACTCCCCCCCCCCGCTTTTATATCCTCCTCATCTTGACTTCCTTCTTACATCATTACCGCCTTTCTCTTCTGCATTATATGAATGGAATGTGAAGAAAAAGAGAACTTAACAGTAGAAATCTCTGTATTTATAAAACGCAGTTATACACGTATGTGTTTGTATCTACTATGCGACTATTTGCTGACAAAATTTCTTCTCCATTTTTAATTTTTATTTATGCAATACAACAATACAACAGTTTGTAATGTAAGCTTAAACTTGACGTCCATATATATATATATATATATATATATATATATATAATGTACAATTTACAAAAAAGACATATATATAAGAAATAAAGAAATTAATTAACTTGTGAAGATAAAAACAGCCGATTCAATCAATTTTAATCAATGCTTATAATACTTTTAAGAGAGAATACACTTGGTTGAAGAAGTATCAAGTGACAAATGTAAAAGTAGCCTCCTCTGTTTATGCATATGTTTTATAATTATTAAGGCATGAAGGTGAACCAAAGTCCTCCTACTATCACTTCACCATATGCGTACGTTTCAATGTGGCGAAAATATTTATTCAGACATTTAGAAAAAACCAAAAAAAAAATTGAGCAGAGAATCTCCTATTCGATAATCGTTATGTCGTCTTTCCAATTTTTGTCATGCTAGTACACACATGGTACCAGCAACAAAGTTATTTATGAAACTCTTAATGAATTTAAACAAAAGAGTTTTTTCTAACTCATTTTTGTTACACATGTTAATCAATTTGACATTAGATTTTTCAAGTATTCTTGTTGATGAGAAAAGTAAACAAAGAAAGGTTATACGATAAACTAGTTTAGATGAATAAGATAAATTTAATAAGTTGCCATGGTGACCGGTATAACATTAAATAACTAACTTACTTGAGTAGATGGTAATAAATAACCCAAGAATTTAGGCAATAAACCACTCTCGGCATAGCATACATACTTGTAAATAGACTTGCACTTAATCCAAGTAATGAACCAATTCCTGTTATATAGGTGGCCCATTCATAATCACGAATATGAAAAGCAGATGTGAAAGCAGCTTGTCGATCCACAGTCCACCATGGTACAAAAAGTGTTAAAGCTAGACTAGCCAACAGAAACAGGAGTGTAACCACACCAACTGACACACCAGTAGCAATTGGCATTGATCTTTTCGGATTTAGCGCTTCTTCACTGCTCACTGTAATAGCATCAAAGCCAATAAATGCATAGAAACATGTTCCAGCGCCACCAATCATACCTCCAAATCCAAATGGAAATAGACCACCATGACACTGGCTGGTGCAAATTCTGAACCATGTTTATTCGGTCGTGAAAACATAATGCAAGTGGCTAAAATAATGACCACTAAATTTAACAGTGTTATTACAGTGTTCAACATGGCTGATAACTTTGGACCACGAAATAGGATTAAACCAAGGACAATGATTAACAGAGAGCCAATAAAGTCAGGATAGTCTCCAAGGAATTCCACATGCGATGGAAAACTATTAAAAGAGAAAGCAACAGAAATAAAATACTTCACTGCTTACTAGCTGAACTGAATTCATACACGATATACAAACAGAGTATTAATGATTATGTAAGGAGTGATTCTAATGAAGAAAACAGTTGTAATATCAATCAAAAACTAAGCAGCTGACTAATGTTTAATAAAGGCCAAATACTATAATAAAGAAACACTTGTTTCGAATAAGATTTTGGTATGAATTAGTGATAACCAGAGTGAAATTCCAGACAACATCTTTGAATTAATAGCGATAGAACAGCGGTTCCAGTCAATATAAGGAATATGTCAAAGGAAAACCATCTGATAGCTTTATGTAAAATGACGCATGGCATAAAATCAAGCTTAACCTTAGACAGATGAGAAATGCATTTTCACTACACAGAATTATGTAGTGAAAATACTCATTCAGACATTTAGAAAAAACAAAAAAAATTGGGCAAAGAATATCCTTTTCCATAATTTCCTCTTCTGGCTTTACAGTTATATATATATATATATATATATATATATGTATATGTTTGTATACATAGTGAAACGATAGAAGGTGAAAGACTTGGTAAAGGAGTGTTTATTTGGAAATTGATATCTCTATATAGCCAAATTATGTACACCTTATCTTCAACGCACCATTTGCACAGATCTTCGTGTTGTGCTACTTCTGGCCTTCATATTGTGTTTCTTTGTGGTCCTTTCACGTCTCCCATGTATCTCCACAACGCTGTATCACGAAAAAAGTCTTTTTACATACTACTGACAAATCTTATCAGTAGCACTCGCCACAATAGAATACTCTAGAATAATCATCAATAACGATATTGGTGTTTTTTAAACAACATCGATTTGTTAAGTAACATCAGTGGAATTACAGATGCATAAATTATAATAAGCATAAAAATGTAATAGCAAATAGAATATCAAATAAAATTAAGGAAATTTCCACAACAATAAATCCATGATTTGACGTATCTTCCTTATTCACCAATGTACCATTTTCGGAAACAGTAGACCTTGTATGCGAAGAACTCATAAGGCGAAATATCGATGTCGGCATTCCTATTATCTTTTATAAAAGGACTTCTCTTGAAATGCATTATGAATGTTCACTTTTTATTTAATAAGGAACTATACAGACAAATTGATGATATGGCAATGGGGTCACTACTAGGACCCATTCTAGCCGACATTTTCCTTGCGAAACTAGAGAATGGGCCTTTGAAAGATGTAATTGATGAACTAGAATTCTACTGTTGGTACATGGATGATACATTTTTGATTATGAAAAATGAGGATGAAGCAAAGAACATCCTTAATGGAAAAATTTAACGATGCTCATCCTGCAATAAATTTTACCATCGAGAAAGAAAAAGACTCTAGTATTTCATTCCTAGACGTCCTTATGACTAGAAAAGAGGATAGCACAATAAGAAGAAGTGTATATGGAAAACCTACATCAACTGGTCAGTATACTCATTTTTTCAGCTTCGTGCCTTTAAAATACAAACGCAACCTAATAAAGTACTTGGTCCACAGAGTAAGAGCAATTTGCTTGGATGAATGTCTTAATTGAGAGCTTAATATTATTAAACATTTGCTGAGTGAGAAAAAATGATAAGAATATGAATCAAAAATCAAGACAAGCCAAGGTACCAACAGTTCTGAAAAAGGCCTTATTCTTACAACTTCAGTTCCTTGGGGATAACATCAGTGAGATATTAACACAACGCCTAAGGAATGCAGTAAAAAAAGTATTCAGTGCTGCTGAATTATGCTGTGCCTTCAAAACTACTCCTATTTTCCTTTCGGGAGTAAAAGATAAACTGCCTAATTTCGCCTTTTGTATGTATAACTACCAATTTGACTGATCCTGTGGAGCCAGTTAGTTGCATAGGCCGTATAATCAGGCGTGTTTCTCGTCGAATTTCAGAACATCATCCTGCATGTTTAAGTAAAGGACAAACAAAATCCATTCATAGCTCTATTCTATCTCATCTTGTGGATACAGAACACAAGATTGATGTTAACGAGGCGGCTTGCGAAATCACCTACCGCATACCAACTGATCTTAACTTCACCTTAAGAGTTCGTCTACTTCACACTGCTGAGGCATTCGGATCCACATCAAGAAACCTAACTTATGTGCCCAAAAAGAAGCTGGTTCAAACACTGTCCTTACCTTGGCTATCAAGGTTTTAATGATCCTCAATTTGTTGTGGAAATTTCCTTAATTTTATTTGATATTCTATTTGTTATTACATTTTTATGCTTATTATAACTTAAGCGTCTTTCGTGAACTGTAATTCCATTGATCTTACTTAACAGGTCGATAGTATTTAAAAACACCAATATTGTTAATGACTACTATTCTAGAATATTCCATGTATATAAACATATATATATATATAATTGTAGAGGCAGAAGAGGGAATTATCGAATAGGATATTCTCTGCTCAATATTTTTGTTTTTCCTATATCTGTATCATTTAGCTTACTGACTCTGTGTTCACTGTTTGTAGCGATAATTACCACCATTTGAGTAGAAAAAGAAAGAGGAAATAAAATGTCTTCGTAAATTGGACTGATAAACCTCATAAAAATTACAAGTTTTGATGAATAATGTACCAATTATAAATTTTTAGTGATTGCTGTGCTGATGTTGCATAAAAACTAAAAGGAAGCTCGTTACGCTGTTTAAAAACCCGAATTATTGTATTTGCATTTATAGTGATATTTACTATAAATTATTTGTCGAAGCATTCTGAGGCTAAAACTTTCCAATGGTTTACAAACTTGGTGTTCGTTTCAACTGGAAACTAATAAAGTTTCTGAGATATTTAGCTACATGAATATTTATATGTTTTTTCGTCGTGTCGTAAATTTAGGTCATTTGATTGACAGTTGGTTTATAGAAAGATGTATAGAAATAAATCATAAAAATAGTATCTGGATTAATAAGGTTTCCAGACTAAGTCTTACGTATCGCAGATATGAGCGACATAGCCTGACAGTAGTGTATTTTTCGTCAAAAAAGAATGTTTGAAGAATATTCAGTCAGTTATTTTGGTTGACGGTGACTAATAGACGAATCCATGATGCTGATTTCATCCTGTTTCGGACTTGTCACCTGGATATACTTGCATTTCCAGTGGCTGATGGCGTTCCCTGCACCTATCTTTTTAACTCCAAAGATCAATCACTTGGAATACAGGTAAATCCGGATAACTGGTCCCAAATAGGACTAAATGCTCATCCTGGATTCCAGTACTAGTCACGATCAACCGAAATAGCTTCACATCAAACCTTAAACATCACCAAACCGTTCATACTAACAGCCGACATTTCAACAGAAGCTGAGTATTTGGGTCCAGCATAATCGATCAACGAGAACTGCAAATAAACTTAAAAACAAATGCTCACTTAATTCTAAATGAAATTCCCACTATTTAGCGATATTAAACTGGGAATTACCATCAGTATTTGCTTTGAAACTTGAGATATCCAGATCACGAAAGGCTATCTACCTGACATTCATGACCATGTGAAAATATGGAGATTTCCACGACGTTGGTAGGCACTGGTAATAGACGTCAACTGCTGAAATTCATTTGGATTTATAATCAGTTTTGTTTGGAGAGATTTTGACAGTCTGCACGTCACACTAACAACCTTGTCATCAGTTTGCAGTTAATACCAATTAAGCCAGTTTATGCAGCTTAATTAGTAGTAACCACAAAAATAATCCTGCCTTAGTTGCGTAAATCATAAGTATATTAGGTAGGACAGAATGTGTTATTAAGATTCTAAGTTTGAGATGAGAAATCCTGACTGATAGCTGCTACCCACGAACCAACAACAGTGATTGTCTTTTACAGTTCTGTCCAGATAATCATCTGTACCTCGTCAGCAATAACTTCAGGCACAAAGGGAGACATCGTGTAACCTGGAGACCTCCATCAACAAATCAACGTTGGACTAAAATGGACCACAGTGTTAGGCTATCGTTGGCGATGGTCAATAGAAGTTTGCCGCTCCTTCTGGGACACGTGTGTAGCCTCCGATCAACCCCTGGTTGGTGCACTTTTATCCTCACGATTAAATGGACATAAAAAAGCTATTCACAGCGAAGCAGTTACTACCCCGACTTCATCAGAGCACAGAGTCCCACTTTAAGAAAGAAATAGCTAGACGCATAACTCAGATTGACAGCAAGACTCCTCCTGAGTAAGCCTGGCACAATATACAGTTTACTGTATTCGCAGCTGTAAAGGCTCTTAATAACCTAAAACCAAAAGTTAGTAACAACCAATGGATTTCTACTTCCTCCTCCGAACTGATTAGCACAAGAAGACTGATTCCAGTGAGCTCAGGATATGATGAAGAGTGAAAGCTGCTCAAACACAAACTAACACGAAGTCTTCGCAACAACCGTGAACAGTGGTGGGCAACGAAAGCCAAAGAGATGGAAAGGGCATCGGCAATAGGTAACACCAGACAACTATTTAGACTTATCGGGGAAATAGGTGACAAATGGTAAGTGAAACAATATCCGATAAAAATGGCACCATGATTAGCTCTCATGACAGACGATTGGAACGTTGGAAATAACACTGAGGAGCAATTTGAGTGACCTGCAGCCATGCTCAGCTTACCAAGCACCCAACACCTTCATGAATGGGATATAAACACAGGTCGTCCGTCCCTAAGTGAGGTTACAAAAGCTGTCTCTAGTCTGAAACAAGGTAAAGCAGCAGAACCTGATGGAACGACTCGCGAGGTGTTTAAGGACAATGAAGATAATGTGCTGTCTGCGTTAAGTAAGATATCAGGCAACCTCTGGGAATCAGAAGAAGTCCCATCGGGCTGGCGTAAGTCATTGATTATCCCGATATACAAGAAGGGTAACAAGTCTTCCTGTGATAATCACAGGGGGATAAGCTTGACCAATATGTTATCTAAATTTCTATGCTCAA